CATACCATTGAACTGCCGAAACTTCGGTAACATCTGAAAAGTCTGCAGCCAGTGTTACTGGTGCTTTATTTCTACGGTTTGCAAGAATTATCATAACCGGTCTTAGTCTCAATCGTGATCTTGCAAAAACAGTTTCTGTTCTAGCAGAGTTTTTCCTCCAACATTGAAATACAACAGTATGGTAATCCGAACAAGGTCCGGTAGTCATTTTCGAGTATAGCACAGGACAGATTTCTTACGCTCATATTAGTCATGAACAAGTTAAGAGGATTGTTAAATTCTCACTGAAAATTAGATACTCAGTGTAAACCTAACCTGGTAATCTGTTTGCACCTGTTGAATAATCTGTATAATACCACTTTTATCATAAACCAGTCTGTAAATGTCACTGAACAAGTTTGAATCCACTTGAATAGGGAATGAGATTAATGAGTTCTCAATATTAACACTGTCTTTCATTACTTCATGTTCAGTTAATGTTTTTAATGCTGAAATGTTTAAGCTTTTATTATCCTCTATAAGAAAAAAAGGTTATTTACGTGGTGCATTAGATTTTCGAATTCGGCTCAAACACTTTTTCGCAATCCTTTTCAGAAGACTTAATTTAAAAGAGCTTCTTCGTAATCACATTCATTGTAGTCGCTCAATTATAAGGTCAGCTGTAAATCAATCGTACATGAGTATTGGATACGGAAATAGGCGCCATGACTTTGTGATCACTCAAACGTTTCTGACTGGCTCGTCCATAAATTATAGTCTTGCCACAGTGATATTTAAGAGTTTATGTATTCCTGAATATAATACTTTTTAATAAATTTATAAGAGGACATAGTCCCCTTAATGTCTGTTTTCGTTGCAAGAATTGGTTGATTTGCCCAGTGAATTAGTTCTTCAAATGATTGTCAAGTGAAACTGAGAAATATCAGTTAGAGCAAACAGATTGTCAAATGATCTACAATACATAACATATTCCCTCATTCAATTCAAAATGAGGACCAGTGTCGGTATTCAATATACACATTTGTTTAAAGTTACTGATTTACTAAAACCCGATCGAGTCGATTATCGGACTCTAATTCATTAACAGATCATTTAAAGAAGTTGATTAGACGTTCACGATAATCAAAAGAAAAAGGAAAATAGCTCTCTTGTATAGTAAGTGAATTAAATTATATTCGTTTAGTAAATGAAAGGAATTATATTTCAGTTGGGTTTAGTTTGTTAATTTTCCATGTGTTTAGTCAAATGTACTTTATTTTTGTATTTTGTGTTCGAATCTTCTCACTGATGTTTAGGACTGCGGTTGATCATTTTCATATTGGCATATGTTCATGCTATGCGCATTGACTCGATATTGCCGCCAAATCACAAACATTATAAGCAGAGACAGTGGGATTCTGAACTTGCGTTTCGTCTAAGTTGGGACCCATGTCTCTCCGCACTTCAAGGTTGATGTTCACTTCAAGACTCGAACTCGGTGCCATTCGCTCAAGACTCTACCGCATCATACACTTAGTTACTCAGTAGCGAACAATTTATTTTGCAAACTAGATTGATTTGAGTGTATGCATTTTATTTGAAATAATGACAGTTATTTGTAACAAAAAATTATTGCTACTGTGTACTCTTAATAGATGTGGTTAGAATTTCGAGACCTTATTCATTGGTCGTAGTGTAACCTTGGTGCAGTGGTTGTTGTTGCCGATCATGATGGTGTTATCGATCTGTGTTAGTTGAATATTTGTTCTTTTGTATCCTATCATAATTGGCACCTCATTCAGGTGTTAGACTGATGGAATAAATTTCACGATGACGCCGTTAATGTTTCAGAACTGCTTATCAGATGGTTTTGCGTAACTGACCTCAAGTAGCTGTCATTTCGATGATGACACTTCCAGGTCAACAGGGTCACTACTAATTTAGTTCAGTTTTCAGATTCACCATCGATTTCAGTTTAATGAACCAGATAGTATTTCTATCTTACATGTGCTCAGCACAAATTTGTCGATGATTAGTCTATCGAGTTACATAATATATATTCGTTTGTTCTTCCAGCATTTAAAAATTAAACAGCAGTCTACCTAATTTCGTCAGACTGAGAATCCTGCAGACAGCTGAGACAATTGCTATTCGGATGAAAAAGCCAAAGCTTTGCGTGCAAAAGAAATATATCCAGCCGCTCCTTTTACCCTGGCCAACTTCAGTGTCAACTTGTTAATGACCAATTTTATAATACGGTGACATTAATTTGATTAATGTTCATTTTGAACTTATTTTATCTACACATTTTACCAGTCATTAATATTATTGTCACAATTGCTAAGCTTTTAGAGAAATTTATTCAGCATCCACCCCTATCTACTATATCTGACCTAATTTATATTATTGTGGTGGACCAGACAATATATAAAAGCAAAAGATATCAACAAAGTTAATAATAACCAATATTAATATTAATATATACAAGTTAAATGTTACAAATACAATAAATAATGGGACTTTACCTAAGTTCACCCAAAATGATGCGTGTTCGGCTTTGATCTGGTACAACTAATCCACAATTATAGATGCTTAGTAATGCCAAACGTATCGATGATCTCCCCAGTATTGTAATCCAATGTAAGATATGATATATTCACTTTCTCAGTCTATGAATGTAAATAATATTTGTTTTAAAACTAAGTTAACTCAATCTCGAATGAAAAGAGAACGAGTAATGTGTGAGTATTAATGTATTTGTTAGCCAGAAGGAATATGTCATGCTATGTTGGAATCACAACGGAAAGTGTCTTCAAGGTCATTGACTAAAACAACATGTACAATCATTTAATGATGAATGTACATACAGTGAGTGTGAGAATTTTCAATACAAATGTCAAGACAGTTCTTCTGTATGGGGCAGAGACGTGGAGAACTACGAAAGCCATTATCCAGAAGATACAAGTGTTTATCAACAGCTGTCTACGCAAGATACTTCAGATCCGATGGCCAGACACTATCAGCAACAAGTTACTGTGGGAGAGAACAAACCAGATTCCAGCGGAGGAAGAAATCAGGATGAAGCGCTGGAAGTGGATTGGGCACACTTTGAGGAAATCACCCAATTGTGTCACAAGACAAGCCCTCACATGGAATCCTGAAGGTCTAAGGAGAAGAGGAAGACCAAAGAACACATTACGCCGAGAAATAGAGACAGACATGAGAAGAATGAACAAGAACTGGAAAGAACTAGAAAAGAAGGCCCAGGACAGAGTGGGTTGGAGAAAGCTGGTCGGCGGCCTATGCTCCATTGGGAGTAACAGGCGAAAGTAAGTCAGTAAGTAAGTAATATTGAGTTAAAACTGAATAGTGAGGTTAATTACTAGAGAAATAAATGATGTGTGTGTTTCAGTATATCACTGTATACTTGTAAAGATTTATATGTAATATGCATTAGTTTGTAGATCATGACCCCACAATCTCTTATTGATTATTCTCTCATTTGCTCACAATCAAAAACCCTTGAATGTTTAATATCTAAGCCTGTGAAACTGGCTCAAAGTAACAGACTTAATTGTTCTTGCAAAATATTGATTAGTGAAAATTTAGAAGATATTTCTCATTTGATAGATGATAATTATGTACTTTGGATAAATGATACACGTTGTATTGTTTAGATGATTCTGTATTGAAATGGAATTCATCAATAAAATATTCTAAAGTAATCAGTTTGTGCTTTAAATTTCAGTTTAGGAAGTGTGAGTGTGAATGTTCACTAATAATAGTAGTCGTGATCATCACAATAATTCACAGTAGTATTCATATACTCATTGATTTCTAGCATCAGAAGGTAATTCTGAGAGTTCTAATGAGAAGCGTCTACCTAATGGAGTTGAATATGAGACATGTTGAATATGTTGAATATTGAGACATGTTGAATATGAGACAGAGATTTAGCGTAGGACATAAATGATCCCAAAGTACCGCGAATTGATTTAGGTCAGACTTGTGCAGGACCGTATGTCAATTGAGTAGTTTAAAGATTAGGCGATTTCCTTCTGTCGAAAATGATCTGTCAGATCACGATCAGGTCATGAGCATGCACTGTTGAAGAGTCCTATACTATGGAAAAATAATAATTCATAGTCTGTCAGTTTCTAGTGGTTTACAAACCTAAGCTACCCTATGATGTGAAACTACAGGTTCAAATATCTCCTTCTCCCCTCTTCATCGTCACGTCGCATTTTACAAATGTAATAAGCATCATAGAATGTGAGTATTTTGAAGTGTCAAGCGATTCAGAATTCTCTTAAATCTTGAATCCATATAAGTTGACTATAAATTAACTTTTCAACAACTAATTTCCATCATCATGGCATATGCAAAAGGAACTGTGAGGCATAACCTGATGTTATGACAGGTGGTGTTTGAGGCTTATGCTGCTACAAAAACTCCCTAAATTCAAGCCTGGAACTAACTACTGAGCAAGAAGACAATTATGAATGGGAAAATTAATTGGGCTACGTAATCACACGGATAAACGTCCATCTATATACGAATTTCTTCGCCTTTGGAAATGAGTGAGTATCTTATTGATAAAATGCACATATATCAATAAGAGACTGATCAATCGCAGTCTCGAACATGAATGGTCAGATCTCATCAACTTATACAAAAATGAGTTTAAACTTCATCACATGCACAATCTCATGCCTATTAGAACTCAGTATCTAGGTGGAAAACGTGATGACAATTGGAGCGAACGGTGCTGGGTTCGTGTTCCGAAATGATCATCAACTCTGAGATATAGATACATCCTGAACCCAACTGCTGTTCACTATGGATAGTCCTGCTAAAATAAATAAAATTGACTGACAATGAGTGTTTCTGTCACAAATATACATCAAAAGAAAAAAAGAAAAACACCATTGTTAACAATGAAATACACGACCATATAAATGCAACATTAGAATTCTTTTCATTGATAATGAATGTGATATAATAGTATAGATTGATAATAAATGTCTGTCAATAGTACTATTATAATCTGTGTAATTGTCTTTCTATACATTACAATGTGTAAATAACTTGGTATTTGTGTTTACTACAAAAATGATATTAGACGGATTATGTTTTACATGAATATTGATGTGATATAGAACAATGTGATTGTTCTATGAATTTGCAAGTGAAAAGATTTTCAGATCATTTGACTAGTTCTATGCAAATTTCACACTGAATTTCAATTGACGGTCACTGGAAACGTTTGCATTTATGCTGTGGCATTTATGAGTATTTCATGTCCTTTAAATTCTCATTAAAACTGACTATATAAATGGTGACTTTGTTGATGATTTAACTAAGGAAGCTTTGAATAAGCACGAACTACTAATCAGAAGGAAATGGTATATCCTTACCTATTCACTGAAATGAACATTACCGTTTGCTGATAGTTAAATGAGTTTCGAAAGTGTCTTTCTCATATAATGACTTAATCGTTATGATTATAATTATGATAGTCATTACTATTACTGCTAATGGTCTGTATGGATATATTTTTAATCTTATTGATGTTATTCATCATTACATTTTAGTCAGAGTTGGTTGGTTAATCGAACATCTCCACATTGACTGTAGCAACAAATTTATGACTTACGTTGGTTATGGTTACCTTGGTTTAAAAGACAGAATGTAGCATATAATTTTATACCTAACATAAATCTGTTCGATTCAAGTAGTAGATAACACTCTTATTGTAACCAAATAAATAATACTAAACTATTCTGTCATATACACGTAGCTGTTAAGCATTACTTCAAGAACCACCAGGGATCACTGCAATTCCTACGACGCGAAGTAAGAACATGAAGACGAACGAAGATTCAATAGCTCCAGAACACGACGACGCCGACGACGACGATCCTAGTCGAAAATACACTCATTTACACATATTGATTGTATACATATTTTGATTACTAATTAGGATGAAATGGCATACATTGAATATACATAGAGTTATAATTAACCAAATGATGCATGGCATATTGAGCATAGTTGCAACCGATTTTCAATACATGAATATCGTTTCTTGAATAAACATACCACTAATCCAAACAAATCAATGTCATAAGGAATAAAATATCACAATGGAAACCGAAGACAAATACCACACTGAATTATCATCATATTGAATTATGAAGAGAAGTATTGTTAATTGGAAACTTCAATGATTAAAAGAATGTCATTTTGACCTTCTATCCCTTCATATCACTTTCAATAGGTTGATTCAAATCAGTCGAATACTAATCAAACTACTCAAAAACAACTGGTAAGTGATATGTAATACATTTATGAAACCTCAAGCTGCTAATAACGACTGAATACCTAACTACTTGTTACAATATTTGAACAAATAACTGATTTTCATTTACATTTTAGTATACAGTAATTCCTGTATACCATTCTACTGGTCCATTGTTACTGATACAGTCCACAGTAGCTTGACATTAAATGACCAACAGTTGTATGAGATTCGGAAGAATACTCGGTTAGCATGATGGAGTATGTCAATTGACACTAGTCAGTGATTCTACACGCTATTTTCATAAACCACACACACATGATGAAATCATGTAAAAATTACAATTTGATTGCTCATACTAAAAATCATATCTGTAGTGCAGTCGGTTCAATGAAAATTATCAAGTAGATGTGTCAATGCCTTTATTTGAGTAATTAATTGCAATGTGAATGAAATTTTCGGAGATTCTGAAGAGGAATTAAACAGACTCTGTTTTGATTACTCATGTAAGAGGAATGACTTTTTCAGGCATCTAATGAATTTCACAGTTTATGAAGAGGTAGTTTTCAGTAAAACAGACTAAATGAGCCTATACAACTTTCCAATCATCATCCACTCCTCGACTCCTTCAAGGGTGCTTTGAGGACTTAAGAGGCTTTTATACTTGTAAGATTATCATTGGTTAGTTCACTTATTCAACGGATGGTTTATGAACGATGTCGAAAACGTTAGCAGTAGTATTCAGTTTAGAACTATGTAGCAGATTGATAGCTGACTAAATGATTTTCATTGTAAGTAACCGAAAAGTGCATGTGATGTAAAGCTATGCGAAGTCAGAACACAGTGATTATGAAATCGAAGAAAGGATCGTCTAGCTATGCATAGTCTGAAGTAGTCTTCTGCTGGGGGATTAGACAGGGAAAAATTCTGAACAGTGTAGTAGAGGAGTATCGGACGTTTAAAGATGATTATTCACGGTTACCATCAAAGTCCCATTCGGCATCATAATTTAAATGTATATTGACAGTAAAATAACATTTACTATAGTAAGTGAAATTTCACATTGATATATGTAAACGGTGTTTGTCTTTCTTCTTGCAATCTAGGATATCTTATCTATTTTAAGTTTCCCTATAGACTATTGTGAAACTTTTTAATTCTACTCGCAGTTTCTTGAATAATTTACAAACTTTTACAAGTAGTGACGCTTTGTTTCAAGTTTACTGTTAAAAAATGGTGCTTTTCTAAACGGAAAACACTTCGTAAAGCTGGTGAATGGGCAGTTGGTACTTGTGCATCATCAGGTATTGGTGAAGCGTATGCAGAAGAACTGGCCAAATAGGGTCTCAACATCATGCTTATCAGTAATGATGAAGAACAACTGTCCTGCGTTGCCAATCGAATCGCAACTACATACAATGTTCAAACACGAATTTTGGTTGCAGATTTTACTAAAGTAATATTCCTTTTCAATTAAACTGTTACTCGTGTTATCTTGAAATCATTATCATTGAATCAAGTAATCAGTTTGACTTGTCACTTGGTAGTGTTTACATAGATGGACAGGAGGTATGCATGACTAGACATTTTGTTCATGATGTGATGAACTATTAGGAGAGTTAATACGGACGCTTGAGTCTTGTGGTCATGATAAAACTACCATCCGTGATAGCATATGTTTGAATGCAGAAATGGGATTGAAAACATTGTTTTCACGAAAAGTATTTCTATCATTCATGTGCATCAAATATATCAGTGTCATATCATAAACAACTCATTGATATTCCATAGTTGTCTAGTGAATCTCATGAACATCACAAATTCGAGTCGAGTAAATGTTTATCTGTGAGTGTATGTGTGGTTCCACAATGACACACAATCTATCCAGTACTGTATTCATAATTACTACACGAGTGATTGTGGTGTGCCTTATTTGCAGCATCAATGTTTTTGTGTTTTCTCTAGTTGATAAGGTGGAACGGTGGTTATTCATCAAAGTTTCCGTTTCCTTTTGAGTAGTGTGACAGAATGAGAGGGAGAATTGCAGTTGACATAGAGTGGAAGGATTATGGAGAGGTAATTGACGTGTCTGCAATGATGATAATACATGACAAATGTGTGGATGAGTATTTTGTAGTATAAGATAATTTTAGTCATCCTCACCAAACACATCATTTGCCAGTGTCTCACTCCATCCTGTCACCTGATCAACTACTTCATTCACATAATCAGTCGCATTAAGCTACACTGAATAATACCAACATTCGAGTGTCACGAATTCACACTGGATATGTGAACATAGAGAATGTTGTGTGATTTGCGTGGCTGATTTGTTGAAACATATATTGGTGTATTGTTGACCGTCAGTTAGTTCGAAACGACATTGAGATTTCAGTGATAATATCGATGAGATGCATGTGAATATTTGGTCGAATGGTTCGGTGTTGACCTGTTTCTATATGGAGTTGAATCAAACCACCGTGAATTTGAGTGAAGTATGTGACTAATGTTAGATTCACACTACACTAGTGTAAATGGTAGTTTAGAGTGTGAGTGAGTAGATTATTGTTGTCTGTTGATGATCACTCACCCTGATCAATGTGTTTTGAGATTTGTAAGTAAATGAAATATATACTGATATAATGTAGTGCCGCGATTCGTTAACCGTTTACTTCGATAACCGTTATAATTCTAAACTTAACGGTGCGTAAAATCAGAAGACAAAGGATAGCAGCAACTACAGTTTATTGTCGAATGACTCAGGTTCGAAAGCTAACAACACCTGAGCGAATATGAACGAGCGAGTGAACAGGCAAACAAGCGAAGGAAACGAACGAGGACCAAGCGAGCGAGCGAGAGAGTAGCAAGCAATTACATAGGCAATTTATAGTCAAATTTAATAAGGGCACAGCAAAGCAAAACAAAGGCTGATAATAATATTTGTGTGCGTACATATATGGGTAGGAGTATGAGTCATCGAATGATATTTAAGCAGTCAACATTTCGGCTAGAGTGTCATGTGCTCTAGTGTTATTGCAGTGCAAAGAATATGCAAATTGTTACTATCCAAATGACAATGTCTGTTAAGTAAGTTATAAAAAAGGGCTTAACCAAAATTGGCTATAATCGAAATTGATTGTAGGATGGTTGCTATATTACTCCCCCCTGCAAACAAAGATATATGAAAAATTGTCTGTGTTTGCATAAAGTACAGTAAATTGAATAGCATAGTTACAATCATTTGAAGATATGGGCCTGTATAAAATTAGAATGAAGTTAGTGTGTATTTAGTTCGTGCCCGTCCGTTAGGCTATACAAAATAGCTGTAAGAAATAGAAGGGATATGGTATCGCTTCGAAAAAAAAACTACACGTATGAGCATAAGGGTGTACATAAGCTGTGCCAAGTTTAATAGCGTATAGCATGAATTTAATAATCCATATGTATACAATGAAGAGGAAGAATTATAATTAATAATCAAAGTAGCAGAAAATTATCAGTAAAAGATTGTAGCGACATAACGTTGCGGCCATCTTACTCTGCGACCAGATTTTGTCGTTATCGGAGTCTCTTCGTTTTGGTGCGTTAGCGTCGTTGACTCCTGAGATTCGTGTTTCGTAGGTGTGATCGTCTTCGAGAGGCTTGTGCTTGTCGATTGAAAATCGCTATCGATGAAAGCTGGCTTCACACGATCGATACTGATTACGTCTGTCTTCCCAGCTTTTTCTACCGTGACTGTCTTATCTGTCTTCGTAATCACTTTAAATGGACCTTCATAGTTCGGCTGCAGAGGTGGTTGTACGTTGTCTCTTCTGATAAATACGTGCGTGCTATTATGTAGTTGCTGAGGTACGAATACTCGACGTTGTTGTAGTCTGGGAAGTGCTATTTTTAAATCGCTCATGTGTTTCTTCAGGCGTTGGACGTAGTTGGCTACATCAGTCGGAACACTTTTACCTGAAGCGAAAAATTCTCCGGGTAAACGTAAAGTAGTTCCATATACCAACTCGGCTGGACAACATCCCATATCCTGTTTAATTATTGTTCTTAAACTTAACATGACTAAAGGAAGCTTATTAGCCCAATCGTTATCGACAATGACAGATGTAAGGGATGCTTTCAACTGCCTATGTAGGCGTTCAACCATTCCGTTTGCCATTGGATGGTAGGATGTCGTTCGTATACGTTTAATTCCGAGGAGTTCTGTAAGTTGCTGGAAGAGTCGACTTTCGAATTGAGCTCCTCTATCGGTCGTGATAATTGCCGGTATACCATAGTGAGAAATCCAATTCTCGATTAGGGCTTTTGCTACAGATTCGGCTGAGGTGTCTTTGATTGGCACCGCTACAGGCCATCGGGTAAATCTATCGATGCATGTAAAAATATAGTTGTACCCGTTCGAAACTGGCAGTGGTCCCACGATATCGATGTGTATATGTTCGAATCGAGTGTCTGGCTGTGAAAACGAACCCATTGGCGAACTAGTATGACGATGTACTTTGGCTTTTTGACATTTCATGCATGCTTGCGTCCAATTTCGTATATCGCGATTCATTTTCGTCCATACGAAACGCTCACTGATTAATTTCATCGTGGCTTTTATTCCCGGGTGCGATAGGTTATGGATACTTTCGAATACTTTCCGTCGCAATGGTTTAGGAATGAATGGGCGAGGTCGGCCAGTTGACATGTCACATATTACTTTCGCGTTGCCGAACTGAATATCTTCGAATAATAATGACGTCGTGTCATCGAATCTTAGCTTGTTTAGTTCGATGTCTATCTCTTGTAACTTCGCGAGACCGTGATAATCAATTCCATTTGTAATAATCGCATTTATCGTTGTTCTGGACAACGCATCTGCCACTTCGTTATTATTACCTTCAATATACTGTATGCTAGAAGTAAATTGGGAAATAAATTCTAATTGTCGAATTTCCCTCGGCGAATAGTTATCCTGCTTGGCGTTTAATGCTTTCGTGAGGGGTTTATGGTCTGTATACACTGTAAAAATGGTACCCTCTATCATGTGTCGGAAATGTTTGATTGCCAAGTAAATCGCTAATAGTTCTCTTCCGAACGTACTGTACCTCGTTTGTGTAGGGTTTAATCTCTTCGAGAAAAATGAAATCGGTTCCCATGTACCGTTTACTAACTGCTGCAGTACAGCTCCTACTGCTATGTTCGATGCGTCCGTCATGATGGCTAGTGGCGCTTCGCTCTTTCGTCGAACTAATATCATTTTCTCATGAAGTGCTCGCTTAGCGTTCTCAAAAGCCTGTATAGCCTCTGTCGATAGATGGAATGTTCGGGTATTTCCTCGCAAAGCGTCCGTTAATGGCTGTAGTATTGCTGCGCAGTTTGGAATAAATCGCCTATAGTAGTTTATTAGTCCCAGGAATCGTCGTAACTTTTTTTGTGACTCGGGCAACGGATAATTGCGAATAGCAGCAACTTCCGCTGGAACTGGCATGATACCTCGAGAATTTATCATATGACCTAGGAATTGCAATGATTTCTTTCCAAATTCACATTTCTCCACGTTAATAGTGACACCATATTCTTGAAGTCTCGTGAATAACTGTCGTAGATGTTGTAGATGTTCTTCGACGGTAGCGCTAGCTACTAATATATCGTCGATATATGCGTATACCCCTGTCAAACCTCTAACAACCTGATCAATAAATCGCTGAAAGGTTTGAGCTGCATTAGTTAATCCAAATGGCATTCGTAAAAACTCAAATAAACCAAATGGAGTGATTACGGCCGTTTTCGGTATGTCTTCTGGGGCCACTGGAATGTGGTAGTACGCCCGAACAAGATCAATTTTCGAAAAAATCGTAGCACCTTCTATTTCGGTAGTGATATCGTGAATATGTGGCACTGGGTATCTATCTGCTATCGTTTGCTTGTTAAGGGCTCTATAATCTCCACATGGTCTAATTTCTCCATTCTTTTTGGGAACCATATGTAACGGAGATGCCCAGGGACTATTAGATGGCCTTATGATACCAAGTTTCATTAGTTTTTCGAATTCTCGTTTTGCAATGTTTAACCTTTTTGGGTCCAACCTTCGCGCTCTTACTCTAGTCGGTGGACCTTTCGTGACGATATGGTGCTGTACTGTATGTTTAAGATCTTTATTGTCGTATGATGACCTCGTTAAGTCGGCGAACTTATTTAGAAGTGACTTATATTGCTCGTTCTTATCTTTCGACACTACTAAATTCATAGATACATGATCAGTGGTCACTCCTCTTATGACTACTGAGCGTTCTCCATTCACTAGTTGGTTTCGTCGAGAATCCACTAATAGGTCAAAATTCTTTAAGAAATCGATACCAATTATGGGTACGGAAACATCAGCGATTACAAATTCCCAGCGAAGTGAAATATTACGGCCGAAATTCAAGGTTAGTTTTCGCTTGCCATATGTCTTTATATCGGATCTATTCGCTGCTTTAAGAGTTAGCGCAGTATCGATATTTTGTTTTTCGTTGCTCAATGGAGGGACGACGCTTATCTCTGCTCCCGTGTCTACTAAAAACTGCGCGCCCGTTACTCTGTCCTGAACATAGAATAAACGATTGCTCGTGGGAGCTGCGTTGATTTTCGTAGTCGTTACTGAGAATCGTTGGGATCGTTTAAATTTGCATGGAGACCTGCATTTTCGAGCTCTGTACCCAAATGTTTGATGGTACCAGCATATAGCAGGATCTGGTAGTCCCTTAGAAAATGATCGGTTTCTATCTCTTGATCTGCTGCGCGACCAACTTCTTTTCCTGTCGTTGTGATTTAGACTCGTTAATTTGTGGCATAGCGCATTAATTTCCTTTTGCAAGGCCTCGATTCTTTCGTCAACTGTGAAGTTGAGCGTTTGTGAAGTCGCATTTCTCATTCTCTCGTAAATTTTATCGGCTATTTTAGCGATATTGTCTATGTCTACATCGCTATCTCCAACAGCGAGGATCTGCTGTACGTTCGGTGGGAGTCGTCGCAACCATAACTGGTAAAATATATTTTTATCCACATTTCTGTCTCCAATTACGTTGCTCATATACGTTTTTAACTGCGAAGGCGTTCTATCCCCGATTTGAACTTCACTGAGCAACTGCTCGACAGCTTGTCGGTCGTTTAACGAGAGAGCTTTTATTACTGCCTGTTTCAATACATCGTACGGATTTACCGCATCCGGCTTAGTTAGGACCTCTCGTACCTTGTCTGCTACTTCATCTGGAAGTAGTGAGCTTGCATAGCCGAACTTATGTCGCTGTAAAATAATACGATTGGCTACGAAGTAATTTTCAAGTCTAATAAACCAGAGTTGAGGATCAGTAACATTAAAAGAGGGAATAGTAACATTAATAACTCCCACGGATGGTGACTGTGAAAGATCGATTGTTTCGTTATTTAAAGACATTACTAATAATAATAATAATAATAATAATAATAATAATAATAATAATAATAATAATAAATTAAGTAGTATGCGAATATAACGTTATTGTCACTAAGAGAAATGAATCGATGAAAAAAAATGATAATAACAAAAGGTACAATTTATAAAATGGAACAGACTTACTAAATTGCACCAATATATCAATTGTTCGTGAATAATCGTTATTTATTATGAATATTATCGTTAAGTTCAATAATGCTTATGGGATGATGAACGTGCGATTAAAATTGTGATATAATAAATCCACAATTATGATTATAATCCAGATAATAATTCGAATAGAAACAGAGTACGTTGAATTTTCAAAATGAAATTATCTCGTCGAAAATTGTTTTGCGTTCGCTCGTTGAGGCATCCAATTCCGTAGTGTCGTGTTCGTACGGCGAGGTAACCAAATATATTGCGTCGTGCTCGTTCGGCGAGATATCCAATTCTATTGCGTCGTGCTTGTTCGGCGAGATATCCAATTCTATTGCGTCGTGCTTGTTCGGCGAGGCCTCCAATTCTGTAGTGCCGCGATTCGTTAACCGTTTACTTCGATAACCGTTATAATTCTAAACTTAACGGTGCGTAAAATCAGAAGACAAAGGATAGCAGCAACTACAGTTTATTGTCGAATGACTCAGGTTCGAAAGCTAACAACACCTGAGCGAATATGAACGAGCGAGTGAACAGGCAAACAAGCGAAGGAAACGAACGAGGACCAAGCGAGCGAGCGAGAGAGTAGCAAGCAATTACATAGGCAATTTATAGTCAAATTTAATAAGGGCACAGCAAAGCAAAACAAAGGCTGATAATAATATTTGTGTGCGTACATATATGGGTAGGAGTATGAGTCATCGAATGATATTTAAGCAGTCAACATTTCGGCTAGAGTGTCATGTGCTCTAGTGTTATTGCAGTGCAAAGAATATGCAAATTGTTACTATCCAAATGACAATGTCTGTTAAGTAAGTTATAAAAAAGGGCTTAACCAAAATTGGCTATAATCGAAATTGATTGTAGGATGGTTGCTATAATAACTCGTGTTCAGTTGAAGTTATTCATTCTGTGTGCGTATGTGTCAGCAGAGACTGGTTGACTGTCATTCAAATGTTGTTTCGGAAATAACCGTATACACAGTTATTGCAAATATCATTACACACATTGTGACATTCATTGGAAGACACAGAGGTAAACAGTCGACATTTCACTGTCAATCTCATCACCAAATTTGTCACAACTTCCCCTCATAATAATATCAAGGTATCCACACAGGATGAATGTAAAGTGACAGAAACTGATTAGATTTCAGTTGTGAATATTGAGAACGGAAATACACAGAGACTCATCATCAAAATATAGCATAATAGTTGGACATATAACAGAATATTCGGTTACACCTACTCAGTGTATATCACTTTAGCTATTTAGAAATGATGTATACGACTTGTCTCAGAGTCATCCACAATTCACGATCAAAACACATCAGCATATATTGACATTGTTGAAACATTTTAGATATTCCATGATTAAAACAAATGAGAAACATTTGAATCATCAACTCCCACCAACTTTGTCTTCTCTTTTGTTAAGCATGATGTTTATGAAATAATAAGACTCGCTGTTGACCAATTATCCACAATCGCTTGTTTAGTTAACAATGTTGGTATGGGATTACCCGTTACGTTGTTTAGTGGAGAAGTTAATTCGCCGAATGAAGAATCAATTAGAAATATCATTCATTGTAACATTTTGTCTGCAGTAACAATGACAAGTATAATTCTTCAGAAAATGTTAATACAGAAGGGACCTAATCCTATCATAAACATTGCATCTTATTCAGGTTTAAGAGTGTTTCCTTATGCTTCATTGTACGCTTCAACCAAAGCAGCTATCATTCAATTTTCGAGATGTGTGGCTGCAGAGAAGTATAAAAAGAATGTTATTATACAAGCGATATGTCCATTATTTGTGTCGACAAATTTGACCAATCTAATGAAAACCACATTTTTCATACCAACTGAAAAAGTGTATGCTAAAAGTGCATTAGATATGTTTGGTGTTGAACAACAAACTTCTGGTTATTCTCGGCATGAGTTAAAAGCATATCATTACAGTTTGTTGCCAACATCAGTTTTAAAAAGAATTATAAGATCAGTAGCTAATTCAACACTAAAGAAGTCTTAGTACATTTAATCAAAATCATCAGATGTCGTTAAATCTTATTATTGTGTGATATTCTGTTGTCCATCATCATCATCATCATCATCATCATCATCATCATCATCATCATCATCATCATCATCATCATCATCATCATCATCATCATCATCATCATCATCATCATCATCATCATCATCATCATCATCATCATCATCATCTCATCATATATTCTACTTCAATTTAAACAGTAATATGTTTTTATAAGGTGAAAATTTTGCTAATAAATCTATTGACAGTTCACTCATAGTTGTTAGCAATATATATATATATATATATATATATATATATATATATATCAGAAGGAGTATTGTGGATACTATGGTAACCTTAATAGTTAAGGTCATGAATCAATTGAAGGTAGACCAACATGGAAAACCTGGAAGCACTAGACGGCCCATTGTGGTACTCCTCAGCACGGTGCATACTCGATCCTGCCCCGCGAGATTCGAACACAGAATCTATCAGTTTCGCGCGCAAGCGCTTGACCTCTAGACCACTGAGCTGACCGGCATCCAACGGTGTGAATGTCTTACTTCAACCAATTCACGAAATTGAACGACACATCCACCAATGTCTTCAGTGAGTTGATATCTCACAACAGACCTGGTTGAAATCCACTGGTCACTGCTTCTCACTAGAACTCCAGGAATCACCTCTTGAAGCCAGTCTCTAGTGAGCATATGTTGAAATATATATATATATATATTGTTTTCGATTGGATCCTCACCAGGATTTACTCTAATATACAGTAATATTTATATGTATATGTGAATCACAATGGGAAATCACAAATCAATTATTACTTTGTTGTTAATGTGCTATCCAATGCATGTTGTGCGTTATGATCGGTTAATTTATTACGTGATAGGCTAGATAATGGCAATACGTCTTGTTCAATCTTCACACCATATCACAAAAATAAACAGTTGAACGGTATTAGCAGTCGAGTCTCCTCATTGGTCCTCATCTGACTATCTCTGCCCGTTGAGTCCAGTACAACAACAACAGCTTCCACTATACAAATCATTTATTTCAAACATACATGGTTTAGATACAAGCAAACCAAGACGCAATACATCACAAAATGAAAAATAACAATTGTACAAGACCAAGTCAAAAAGTAGTTGTGATTGTTAGAAGCTGTAATTAATAAACTGGGTATACCATAAGAATGGTGAACCGTATCATAATACTCTGTGGTTCAAAATAAAGCTTGTATTATTAGGAGTATGAATTTACGTATCCTAGTTACTGAATAACTATACAATAAGAGTATACGTGTAATATTCGTTCATCAACAGTTCTTAGCAGTCACCTGTAATTTAATCTTATTCAGGATAGAACGCCCTTATATTAAGATTCGAAGCGTAGGTCCTGAATAAAAAATGTGAGCATAACTTCAAATTCTCTGACATTATCTAATCCCACTAGATGATGTCGGATCCTCATATCCTCAAGTTATAAATTTTGTATATAACATCATTCAAATTATCAATACTATCAGGAGCTCTATATATACAACCTAGGAGTAGACTATGGTTTAGGGCATTGATTGATATCCAGATCAATTCTGGTAAACTATTCAAGATACTATCTTCAACTTTGTTAGTTGTTAATGTATCTAAAGCAAACAAAAAACAACCGCCTCCTCGCTTAGTTTCTCTGTCACAGCGATAAAGTCGATAATTTTGGATATTTAATTCGTAATCGGCCACTGCTGGATTACACCACGTTTCAGTGATAAGTATAACAGAAGGCTTCGCTAGAAAGGCTAAGGTTCTCAAAGCTGAAATTTTCTTCAGAAGTGAACGTGCGTTAATAAGTAATAAATTTACAAAGGGAGTGTGTAGTGTGAAAAAACCGAGAGCATCCTTATCGATGGTATGAGTTCTAAATATGGCTGGACTATGGTTTGATGTGTTTTCCGGATCGCATGGGCCATAGCATGAGCGAATTGTAGTGCTAGTGGAACAAGGGATCTCTGGAGGCCGAGAAAAAAACCTTATTTTGGTAAGGTTGAATAATTTGTTGTACTTGTTTTTGGTGGACAATTAATAGAGGTGCCTGCATGTTGGGGTTGCGTTGATGGTACGTAACCTAGTATACCATCTTCTCCACTGCGAGAGTGATGATAAGAGCTACATCTTGCAGGTTTATTATTTATAACATTTGGGGAAAACCATGGTGACGTTTGTTTATTGCCGTCTGTTCAATGGTAGGCCTGCTTACACGATGGTTGTAGTGGCCGTTGAAATATTTTTGGTATTCAGTCTAGAACCAGAAGGTTTTTTATTTGCTTTCTTCTTAATTGGCATTTTTTAGGTTTAGCAGTGTTTTTATGAGCCTTCACAATAGAATCAGGTGTTTGATTTTGGGCTTCCGATATTACACTGGAAAGAATGACATTAGTGTCTCCATCAGATATGTCCTGGTTATCTAGGGCCACTAGGGGTATGAGAGGCAAACTAGCACACTTCATTGGTATATCAGTACACTGACTAACATGAGATAAATTAGCTGAACCAGTGGGTTCAGCTGCTGGCGCGATCACATTTGTTGTGACCTCAACAATGTTATTTTCGTTCATGGTACGCTTTTGTGTTAGTCTTCGATTGGTGGTTCTGTCTGAGACTATACGAGCGTTTTTAATCTTCGTATGCGCACAGACTAGCTGTTCAGATTATTTCAAACGTTCCGCTAACAAATGGGAATCGAAACTAAACAGGATAGGGCACAGGTATTTTTATATTTATATATTTTATATATATTTTATATTTATCGAATAGTTTTCGTTGTCATTCTGGACAACGTACTCGAAGTCTGAATAATGACATTGTTTTGATTGCACAACTAAAGTATATAGGCATTTAGATCACAGATTGTTGAACAGAGCATCGATGATTTACATTATGATTAACATTATCATAGTCATTACATTATCATAGTCTGCTAATATTACTCTCAGAAGGAAAACTCTCCACACTCTTCAGCACCAATCCACTACAAAGAGGGGCATAACTATTTCCGGTTACGTGCAGCAGAGCCCCATCATGCTCACACTAACGAAAACAGTTATAACAGCGGCTGCGAGTTTAACCATTGAAACTATTTTGCAGATAACAGTACAATTTACAGTCAACAGACAACGATCAACCTTAATCTTCTGAACACTTCTACGTCTTACCCACAAATATCACTAATCGATTCTCCATAAAAAGTCTCTTCTATCTCTGTGTGCAGTATGCCAACCGTAAGACTAGTTGACATAGAAAGCGAAATACCCATGTGCATCGAAAAGTCGACACGGTCTACTAAACAGTTCCCATCAGAGAGTACTTCCACCCTTCCCTCCTGTGTAAACTCCACAAACAACTTCACTAGCTCATTTGACACATCCCCCACTAACCCTAGCTGTCAATATACAGAGCTATTGAAAAACATTCAATCCCTCACTTCAAACACATATCACACCAGCGAGGGTTATGACAACTTTAATTGAGATACTCAGACATTTTAACTTGGTAGGCTATTTGCTTAATATGTGTCTTATCAACGCTAGGTCGATTTACAATGAGAAGACGGATTTAGCCCTGTTTGTATCCATATATCAACCACCGCTTATAATGATACCTGAAGCATGGACTAACAGTGATATTTTCGACCTCAGAATATCTCTTGACAATTATTTCTTATAAAGAAGTGATAGACTGAAAGGACGAGGCGGTGGATGCCTTATTTGCGCTCACTCTAGCTTAAACTCACTATCATGTGAAATGCCTGAATTAAACAAACTGAAGGGTTCGGTGTGGATTGACTTAAAGCCATCGAAGTCCATTACCTTACTGTTCGGCTGTGTTTACCATCAATCTAATGCATCAATTGATGAAATAGCAGTATTATCAATAATATTCACACTAACATCATCCCTCCTATTCACAGGCAAGCTCATTTGTGGTGACTTCAATATGTCTTAAATTTTTTGGTCTCCAGTCAAGGCTCCGAAACGTGATAAATCATTTATTGAATGTCTAGGACAAGGATAGTGGACTCAGCATGTCAGTAGCTCTACCAGACATCAAAATATCTTGGACTTTGTCTTCACCAGTGGCCTCATCCCCATTACTGTGTATATTGGAAAAACGTTTCCAGGTAGTGATCATAACATTGTCATATGCAGCCTTAATATAAAAATTACAACCGGTAGACATATAACTGTAACACTCTGTAGAAACCATCGCACGGTTGATTGGAAGAACTTCCACAATTACCTAGGACGCACTGATTGGGGAACTTTCTTTACTGCAAACAATACCGACACAGTAACCAATATATTTTATCACATCATCAGTAGTACCACCAACAAAATCGCACTTTTAGAATATTGAAGACCTAAATTCTCTAAAGAACTGTATATACCAGTCGGTACACGAAGAATTCTTCAAAGACATTGTACTCGACTCCACAACTAAAATGGCTTTTCCTCTTTGGTAACGATGACAGAAATACGTGTCCGAACAGAGTCACAAAAGACAGTGGAACAGGGAAAACGTGCTGTCGAACTTAATAATAACTCCTCTGCACTCACCATATTCTTTGAAAATAAACTGAAACGTTCTAAATCGAAAGGGAACATATTTATTAAAGACAAACAAGTATACGAAGATCCTAAACTTGTTGCGCAACTATTAAATGAACTTTTTTGTTTCTCATTAACTGATGAGAAACCATTAAATGATTCAGAACTAATCCCATCACCTCCCTGTGAAATTACTAATGTAAACTTCAATGTAAAAAATTTCTCTAAGGCAATTAGTACATTGAAACACTCCTACATCAATTGACCAGATGGTATTCCAGCTAGCATGCTAAAAGGTGGAGGTGATGATATGTGTGCTTTACGTCTCAGACTATTTGCGATATCACTCTCTGCAGCGCATTACCCTACTGCCTGGAAAACGACACATATCATTCCCAAAATTAAGACAAAACCTGAAGCAAATGTTGAAAATTACCGACCCAGAAACATAACTTCTGTGGTGTCTAGAGTGATGGAAAAAGTGGTTGAGGCGGCAGTAGTCCAACATCTATTTGCTAATAATCTCATCTCGGTCTCCCAGCATGGAATTCTTAGGTCCAGGTTATGTGATACATGCCTAGTAGGCTCAGTCAGCTGCAACGTGGGAACAGGCACATATAGGCATCGG